GTGCAATATAACGATTCTACCATCCACTTGCCTCAAGACCGAATATGTAAGGCATTAATAAGCATAACTAAACCCAGCTTTTATAGGTATGCCGCTTTAAATGTGAACTAAAGTCCCGCCGAATAAGGTAAAGAAATAGATTTATCTTCCAAATAATATTCCTTACCGATCTGTGTTCTTATTATCGAATATTTAAGGAATTCACCGAGAAAACTTCATCGTATTTTATTGCCAGTTTCAAACGTGTTTAAGAAAACTCTAACTTGGGCACAAAAAAACGCCTAACTCCCATATAACCGAACTTTAATCCTACTGTGAAAGTCGGTTAAGCCGTCTTGCCTTTGATATATGTACATGAACTCGGTCTTTCTTACTGGTTTTTATATATTTAGGGATTCCCAAGATATTCCATAAAGTTTTTGAAACACATTTAGCTGGAAGTTAGGAATATCCGCTGGTGTTCCATTTTGATTATGGTTTCTCACGTTCATTTAAAAACAATAAATAATCTTTTTTTTCAATTTTCTATACATTAGCAAATGGTATTCAAAATAACTGCATGATTTCTATCAATAATAAATTTGGTTTTGAAACAATTACATGCATTTTCATTTCACAAAAGCATAAAATTGTGACAAAAAACATTTGGCATGCCATTCGGAAGATTTCAAAGCATTTTTAAACAAGGCAAATGCACGTGTGCATCAAACGGTCATCATCATCACAATTCAATCATGAATGGGGCGAAATTCTTTGATTTCTTCAATTTCCTTTTTTTATCAGTAGTTTATTTTATTTGTTTTCTATTCCTTTCATTTTGTTTCCGAAAATACTTTACAAACTACAATACAAAACAAAACAAACAAACCAAAAAAAATGAAAAAATGAAAACCAACCCATGCAGCGTTATCCTGAAGACTCAGGCTCTGATGATGATAGTCCCTTTGATGCCGATTATGAAAAGAGTGATTACGAAGTGTCCATACATGCCCACGAGGCTGAAAATGTGAAAGTTCCCAAGGCAACGGAAGTGAAAAATTAAATTTGCAATAAAATTGAAAATTAAAATTAAATATAAATATGCATTATTTGCTTTAACAAATTTATTTAGTTTTCTTTTTAGTTGTTGTTTTTTTTTTAATTTATTTTGTATTTTTATTTTACATTTTTTAACGTTTAACAAACTACAAATTAATTTGCTTTAGCCAAAGGTCAATTATTGGTTTCCTCACAAAGAGTTACAGGTAGATATTTGAAAGAAAAAGCTTAAAAAATAGAAATGTGTTTGTGCATATGTCCGGTTCGTTGAGTAGTTGGCTCCTTCATCCATGTGTTCGTGTTCGTGTTGGCACTCTACAATAATTGTGATATTTTTTTTTTTTTGTAAATTTTTGAAAATAATTTTCGCAAACATTTATATGTACATAGGCATGTTAAATGTTGGGCTGCTTGTTGAAAAGAAAATCTCGAAAAAATGTCCAAAATGTCCAAGTTTTGGAAAATAGATATATAATATAATATAAAATATAATCGAATGCTTTGAAATTGCAACTATGATACAAAAAGAAGACACTAACAGACCTATTCTCACTGTTACCAGTAAAGTAAATTTTGTTACTTTTCTTTAACAACCGAAATTTAATTTGGAATCTGGCGAACTGGTTACAATGTTTGGAAAATATACACATCGCAATGGAAGACGGTGCACAAAAAAATTAAAAAGTTTTATTAATTTGCTTATTAAATCATAAATATTTGAACCTAATTATGGAAAATATGCCTGTACGATACAACAAAAAAAAAGCTGAATTAAAACGTGATCTTACAAATTAAATTCTCAAAACTTCTTAAAATACGGCTTTTTGCACTTTTTTCTTCGTCATCAATGAATTCCAGGCCTAAAATATGTCTCCCCTCTTTGGTTTTTTTATTTTTTTCTCAAATTTTCAACACAAAATCAAACAGCAGATATTATTGTTACCTCCTATTTCGCTGGTAACAAAATTTACGGGGTAACAGTGAGCTCAGAATACGAAATGGTAACAAAATTTACTGAATGGTACTTTTTAATACCTGGGTAAATTATTTTGTTACCTCGACAGAATAGGTCTGCAAATGATTTATTGACCACATTTTTTCCCACTTTAAAGACCTTGTCGCTTTCAAAATATTCAATAATTATTTTATTTATTTATTTACATATTTTTGAACGAAATTTTTTCTTATTGAAAAATAATTTTAATCAAGTGAATAAATAGTGACTATTAATTTCCTGATTTCCTTGGCGTTTTTGACCTTTTTCCGAGCAGATTTTTTTTTTTTTTTTTTTTTTTTTTAAATATAAAAAACTTTTTTTTGTTTTCTGTGACGAAATATTTGACCAAATGATTAGACATTTTTTTTTTTTACATCAAGAGAGTTTTGCAGAGTCCGAAACAAATGGTAGTCAAAAATGATGCAAGCTCCGGGCTATATATGTAGATGTAAAACACCATCAACTATTGACAGGTGCTCACAGATGTATGTGATCTGGCGTTGTCATGATGAAACACAACACCGCTTCTATCGAACAATTCTATACGTTTTTTTTTTATAAGTTTTTTTTAGAGCTGTTTGGTGAATTGCTGACAGTAGAGCTCGGAAATGACCGTCTCGCCGAGATATAGCAACTCTTAGTCTTTCCAATACCACTACATCAATCAGCATTACCTTGTTTGCCGACAATTCCGGCTTTAAAGTCGTTTGCCCTCACCGGTCTTTGACCATCGGAGTTCACTCACATCATTCTCAACGTAAACCACACCACTTTTTCTACATGCTTCCGAAGCTTTTATCTTTTTTTTTATAGTAAAAAAGTCTCACATTTCGTATTTCTTCGCAAATTTCACTTATTTTCAAATCAAAATAACATTTCGTACGAATGAGGATTTACAGAACTGTTTTGATAAAAAATCTTGTACGGATTTGTATTGCGCATCAATACCATCTGGCAAAAAAAAAAGAAAAGAAAAAAAATCGTAGAGAATTTATTATTATATATGAACATAAATCGGAGGGGTTTCGCCTCAAATGCTTTTGCGGCGCATGCTTTTCCAACAAACGGAGGAACCTAAAGCTTATTCGAAGTCACCTCCAATCGCACTTTTCTGAGAAAGTATTTTTATTTCATGTCAGAAATACACTCGAAGGGCTTGAAATTCCTTGCGGAGGGCCGAGCGCAATTGCAAAAAGTAATTTCAAAATTAATTTTCTCTAATTTCAAAAGTCTGGTTGTAATATTTCTCTTAAATTTGTACATTTTAAATGAAATGAAATATTGAATTAATATAGTAAAATTTTAATTTTTTTTCGTATATTTTCTTAATTATCAAATAGCTTGTTTTGTTTACGAATTTTTATTGGAAAACTAAATATCTTAAAATCTAATAAATTATTTGAATATTTTATTGATTTTTATGCACTGCAAATTGCAGGGAACTCAAGCATTATTCCCGCCGAAAAAAATGCAACAATTTCACAATTTTTATTGCCCCTCCCCCATTAAATCATATTAATAGTTTTTCTTATTAATTTGGATATAAAAGTAAATAAAAAATAAAATATACAATAAATATTATAAAAACCTACCTAATATATCAAAATAGCTTTTGCATTTTTTTTCCGAAAATAATCCGCAAAAATGGCAAAATCACAGTTTAATCTTTATCTCAAGGCAGTTATAAATAAACATTTAAATTATTTCCCTTTTAAATTTTTAGGCGCTTTTTATAAAAAATTAATTGTTGTTATGCAGTTGCATATATTTTATTATATACTTTACCTATTAAATGCTCTGACCCTAAATATAAATGCACATAAAGTTTTAGCTTTTCTTTTATTAAAAATTCACCAAATTTTAGATAATTTACATCCTAAATTTAGGAAAATTCACCAAATTTTAGAAAATTCACCAAATTTTAGAAAATTCACCAAATTCTACATAATTTCCAAACTTTCAAAAGTTTACCAAACCTATGAAAAATCACCAAATTAGGCGAAATTCATCATATTGAACAAATTCACCAAAGCTTGGAACATTCATCAAATTCTGCATAATTTCCAAACTTTCAAAAGTTTACCAAACCTATGAAAAATCACCAAATTAGGCGAAATTCACCATATTGAACAAAATTCACCAAAGCTTGGAACATTCATCGAAATTTACCATATCTTTGGAGGATTCAAAAATTCAAAATTCACAAAATTTTAAAAATTTACCAAATTTTAAAAAAAAACTTTGACCAGTGTACTTGCGCACATTTTGGTGGAACTATTGCTTTACATTTTTATTTTTTTTAATTAACTAAAACCCGTTTCTACTTTCCTCTCAGCCAGATTTTTATATGCTTAATTTGCACCAAATAGAACTGCAATCTATTTGAAATAATATTTATTGCTCCGTTCCATCTGCTTTTGTTTCTCTTTTTTCTTTTTTGAATTCACACAAACAAAGCATTGAGGTTGTAAAGTAAACATTTGACTTTGCAAATTTTTTTTTTATAAATTTGTGTAATTTTCATTATCTTTTCTGCGATTTTTGTATAATCAACCCAAAGAGCGTCACTTTTTTTCTTCTACAAATTCTAAATAACAGAAAAGAATCGAAGTTTTTGTCTAGCGTCTTTTGTGTACCGTTTTTTTTCTGTTTAATGTTTCTTTGTTGTTGTGATCTCGTCTCAAATATCCTCAATATGTATATATTTGTAAAATTTATACATACATAATGTATTTTTTTTTTGTGTATGTGTTTGTGTATTGTCGGTAGCGAGTTTTAATATTATGTGACAGTTGCAAAAAAAAAAATAAAATAAATATGTATATATATATATTCACAAAAACTAAATTTTCACACACTTTTGTGGTTTTTTTCCATTTTAAAAACTTAAACTTTTGTTATTAAATTTAATTTAACTATATATTCATTTATATATTTATTTTCTTATTTTATTTCACCAAAATAGGTTGTGAGTTCCACAAATGGCGAATTGAATGCGGACGATCCCACTGCTGGTCACTCAAATACTCCTATAACGCAACAGCCCGAGGTGGAGCTTGTCGATGAAACAAAGTAAGTTTTCCAATAAATTGTATTTGTATTTACTGCTTTTTGTTTTAATATTAAAATGTAATCTATACACTATGATTTATATATGTACATTTACATACATATGTATATTTTGTAGATATGTATGTATATATAGATGTATTACTTTGGTTGCGTCCTCATATATTTATCTATTTATTTTGATTTCAGTTCATTCCTGTGTTGTCTTTGCAGATGTTGTTGTTTCTTTAAACGAAAGAAGAAGAAATCATCACGTCAAAAATGACTAGACGGTGTCCAATGTAGTCCAGAACGCGAAGCTGTTACACTGCTGCGCGCCACTTCACATTCAAATTCACGGGATAGCGTATTGAATAATCCAAGTCAGGATTATATACAACAGGCAACGTCACAGCATACGTTGCGTTATCCTCCATCCGCGTCGATGTTGACGCCAACACCAACTACAAACACACCGACACTTCCGTTGTAATTTATAAACAAACAAAAAAGAAAAAAATAGAGAAAAAACATACATGCAAACATACATACATACATACATACTACATTTATCATTTCTTAAGTTTAAAGAAGAAAAAATAAAAAATGAAAAATTACAAAAAAAAAATAAATAAAATCAAATGTTGCAGAAAAACACAAAAATAGAGTAAAAACTACTAAAAAAAAAGAGGTTGGATTATGCATCCACGAAAAAAAAATTATGTAACTTCAAATTCACACAAACAGAAATTTCATTTAAATTATTAACTCAAAAAAAAAACAAGGAAATTGTAAAAACAGAAGAAAAGAACAAGAAAAAATTAAGAGAAGCAGTGAAAAACAAATAGCAGAAATGGCAGTAAGCAGAAGATACTAAAAGTAATTAAGCGTTTGTACTATTATAAACCGATGCAAACATATATGTATACACACCTACACACACGCACAATCATTATCTAATTAAATACTTTGCTTTCGCCCTTCCCATGCTGGCTAAGTACATGGAAAATTGTTGTTATGTTAAGCGAGACATATAAAAAAAACTTTTGAAATTATTACATACATACATATGCAGTTGTATGCGCATACTCCAACAGTGACAAGTACAACTGGCTAATCAATTTATTAATTGATATTATTACATTTTTGCTGAAAGGAAATTTTTAATTGAAATATGTTTGAAAACATTCACTATACAGTTGGCTACAGCAATGCTGGTTTGTCCAGCTAATAATTTCTAAAACTTAGCTTAGCTAAATAAACGCTCTTTCCAACTTTCTTGAAAATATATAATGGTAATATTTTTGCTCAATTGAAAGCATTAAAGTCAGCTACAAATTTTTTAGTACATTTCTATATTGCTTCATTGCTTTTACCTTTTAGATAGGTCCTAGCGCAGTAGCAAGTTGCATTCTTCTACTGTAATCTTTTTGTTTGTTATATACCTACTTTTAGGCGCTTTAACTATTTTCAAATCGTTGCTTATTTATTCTCGCTAGCTGCCGTCTTAGTTTTATCAAAAGGAAGAAAAAAATAAAAATAAAAAAATTAAAAAATCAATATTTAAACAAAATTTCCTGAAGTAAAAATTAAAACAAAATTAATTGCTTGTTGTTATGCCTATTTTTCATGCACTTAGCCTTTTCATTTTGGCTGGCACCAACCATCAGCGTTCTTCCAAATGTTTTCAAAAATCACAAATCACATGGAAATTTGGCTTCGTTATTCGTTTTTCCTCCCCTTTTGTTTAAATTAATTATTGAGTTTTAACCAACCACCCATCAATCTCATTCACCACACTTCTGCCGCATACACCATTTATGCTGATAATTAAAAAAAAAATACAACAACTCATTTTATTGTGTAGAATTGTGTATGCTGCTACAATTAGCTGCTATGTATGAATTATGTTTGAGTATGAAAATCTACTAGTATATAAATATATATAAAAATTTTTTTTTTTTTTTGAAATGTGTGAAAAAGTCCATTTAGGCATGCGCAGTAGTATAGCAAACTATAGTGTTTATTTTTTGTTTTTCATTTTGTATTTTTTTGCGTGGCTGACATTATGCTGACATAAATTAATTAAGTAGAAAAGAAAACGAAAAACTAAATTAATAAGAAAAAAAAATAAAATAAAATAAAATAAAATTATTTGTAGTTACAGTTTTTTTTATTCTTTTTTCTCTCTTTAAATGCTATTTTCATTTGATTTAAAGTTAATGAATGAAAAAACGTCTTACCTAAATACTATTACATATTAATTAATTAATTAACGTTTATATTATTATTATATTGATAATATATAATTATAAATGCTTATATTATATTTTTTATTTTAAATAATATTTACCTTATTGTGTTAATTTGTAATTGTATAATTTTAATTATATCACAATGAAAGAAAGAAAGAATTAAAAGTAAAAACGAAATAATTTAAAAATATACATACTACATCTCTATACAAATACACAACCATATACATTAAAGAAAAAAAAAAACGAAAAATTCTAAAATCAGTGTCTCATTTCTTGGCTCCTCTTACGCATATTCGCTGGTATGAAAAATGACTTGCAGTCGTATTCTAATATTTCCCTCGCCTCAGTTTATTTTGTATACTTTAAAAAAACATTTTTTTTTCGTCAGTAAAACTTCTAGAAAGTACTAGAAGTCATAGAAAGTAGTGAGTATTTTGTAAAATTAAAATTGTATGTTTCAAGCGCAATTTTAGTAAAAGAAATTAAATATAAAAAAAAACTATATTGCCGCTTTAATTTCCTCATCAAACGATTTGCTTCGTTTATGCTGTAAACAACTGGCTACCACGACTATCATTTTGTTTTTGTAACAACTACAGCTTAGCATACGGTTGTCTACTCTCTATTCGTTGATATTTGCCACATAAGATATCTACCCTTTAACTGTTATTATTCTGTTTTTTCTTTACCTTTTTGTGCCCAAATTGTGGCTAATTAATGTTTTTTTTTTTAACAAAATTTTGAGTGTCCTTGTTTCTTTTATTCCACCACTGTTGGTTTAGATTTTATTTCGCAAATTATTACAATTAAGGCTGTGCGATTGATTTAGCGTAGAAGTCGATATTTTTTTTATCATTTGCTGTATATGGAAAACTTTAGTGCAGTTAAAAAGTATTTTTTTCTCTCAATAACAAATAAATTAAAATTAAATAATATAATAAAGAAATTATAAATTTTCCACTAAGAACATAAAATTTGATGTATTTGAAAAAATATATATATATTTTTGTCGTGCGCAATTTTTCAACAATGCGTTGAGTTTTAAACATAAATATGTTTAGCGTGAAAATAAAAATAAAAAATTCTTTTATCAACAACAGTCTGTCACTGTAAAAAAAATTGTTTTTTTTTTTCAAACTTTAGACTTAATTAAGACCAAATATTTAGAAAACAATTATTAAAAAGAAAAATCATGCTGGTTCTAAAAGGCTTAATTCTAGTTTGTTCATTAGCTTAAGTTTTACAACTCATTATTTTAACACTTAAAAGCATTTGTGAAAAGAAATATATTAAGTTAAGCGGTCTCATGTGAAAGTAGAAAAATTTTATAATGGAAATTGCAGTTACTGTGCGAATTTGCTTGCGATTTTTATTTATATGAGACAAATATATAAATACAAATATATATATTTTCAAATATTTGATGTTTTATGTTTTTTTTCCGCTAATGGTAAAATAATTGGCTGCTTGACGAAATAAATAGTATAAACATAAGTTATATTAATAAATGAGCTAATAAAATTTTAAAACGATTTTTTGTGTATTTTTATTTTTTCTTTTCAGTTGATATTTACTATTATTATACTTCTTTTTAATTTCAACATTTTAGTGCTTTAATTCGTAAAAAAAAAATTATTTGATAGAATTTCAAACTATTATGGTCGAAAAAATATTCTTTAAGTTTTAAAATTTATTAAGTGAAATTAAAAAAAATACAGTAATTTAAAGTAGATAACTAAGGCCACTAAATCAAAAGTCATTTGAAATAAAATAATAATAATTGTAATAATAAATTGCTAAACAATACAAAATTCAAATACAACAAAAATCAAATAATACAAAAAAAAAAAACGGAATTTGTTTTTAATTTCAATTTTTAAATTATTAATAAACACATTATTTTTATTTTTTATTTTATTTTTGTAAATTTTTACTTTTTGCTTGTAAAGGTATATTTTTAAGAGCTATAAGAAAGTTTTTCACAAAAATACACATAAAATTTGCATTAAAGAAATTTATGCTGCAGCTTGAACATGTTAAGATTCTTAACTATTAATCAATCATTGGCTTGAAATATTAAAATGACATTAGATACATATAATATACTTTTTCATTTGCTATAAATTAATTATGAATATAACATTACACTCATATGCATACACACATATGTATGTTTCACGAATGCGTTCAAAAATGTTTAAATTATTTTTCATAAGCATGAGTTGGAGTGCCTTATACTTTGTTTAAAAAAAAAAGAAAAAAAATATATATAAAATATACATTTATATTGCAGGCAATTTTGTGTATATTAAAAGCTAGCTTTCGAACTACATACATATGTGTATGTGAATTTTGTCAAGTGAAATCAATCCAACATCTCATTTATAATAACTTAATTAATTATTTTGTTAATTAAAACCAATTTTAATTTTTATTGCCAGTTTTCTTTCAAATATGCATTCTTTAAATAATAAAACAAAAAAGCCATTCATTTGGTTAAAGTTAATTTTTTACTTATTTTAAAGCTTTTATTTTATTTCCCCAACTAAGCGCAAGAATACTGCAAAATTAGAACTGAAAAATAAATAAATTCTTAATTTTTTAATTAATTTTTCTTTTTTTCCCTTTTTTCTTTTTCTTTCTATTTTTTGTTCACGCTGTTTAATAATTAATTTTTTTTTTATTTCACCACAAAATCGTTTCAAATGACTTGCAAAGCTCTCTTCATTCATTCGTTAGGCATTTCCTTCATCCATCAAATCTCCTAAATCCATTTTGTTATTTGTATAGATTTTTTAAATATTATTTCTTTTTAACAGTTCTTACATTACACAAACATACCACCAGCACTTATATTCGCCTATAATCTAAAGTCTCACTTAAACAAAAATATGGCAATGCTGCGAATAAAGCAATAACATTCAAAACCAGTAACAAAAAAACAAACAACAGACAAACGCACGAAAAGTTGGTAGGCGAGGATTAAATACGAGTTGAATTTCAATGTTGAAAATGGTACAATTAAAAAAAAATATATTTAAAAATAATACAAATATAAAAATATAAAATATTAGAAATGAAACAAAAAATAAAAATAAATGACAAGATTGAAAGTAATTAAAAAAATGAAAATAAAACAAAGAAAACTAATAACAGCGGAAGTACTTATATGTTAAAAAATATAAAATTAAATAATAAATTTTCAATAAAATTCACAATAATAAAATTAAATAATAAATTATCAATAACAATAGAAAATAAAATAAAAAATTAAAAATAATATAAAAAATTAGAAGTAATATAAAAAATTAGAAATAATACAAAAAAATACAAATAATATAAAAAATTAGAAATAAATTACAAAATTAAATATCATTAAAAATTAAAATAATATAAAAAACCATTTGTTAAAATAAAAAATTAAAATGAAAAAAATATTTTTTAATATAAAATACTAGAAATAATAAAAAAATTTTAAGTAATACAAAAGAATTAAAAATAAATTATACAAAAAAATTAAAAATTATTTAAAAAATTATAAAAGATATAAAAAGATTAAAAATAATTTAAAATATTACAAATAAAATAAAAAATTAAAAATCATATGAAAAATTAAAAATAATAAAAAAAAACCATTTGTTAAAAAAAAAAAATTAAAAAAAAAAAAATATTTTGTTGATATAAAATACTAGAAAAAATTTAAAAAAAATTTAAGGTAATTAATTCTTTTGTATTACCAATAATACAAAAAAATTAAAAATAATTTAAAAAGTTGTAAATAATATAAAAAGATTAAAAATAACTCAAAAAATTTCAATAAATAAAAACTTTAAAATTTTTTAAAATTAAAAAATAAAATGAAATTAAAAATAATTTAATAAATTAAAAAACATAAACAAATTAAAAAATTTAAAATAATAAAAAAAATGAAATAAAAATTAAAGAACAAATAAAAAAAATAATATAAATAAATAATTTTTAAAATAGAAAATTAAAAATAAGAAAATAAAATATTTTTTAATATAAAATACTAGAAAAAAATTCAAGAAATAAAAGTAATACAAAAGAATTCAGCATAATATTGTATTGTACAAAAATATTTCAAACATAATAATGTAAAAAATTTAATATAATTTAAAAAAATTAAAAATGATGTTAAAAACGAAAAATAATTGAAAGAAGTTAAAAATCATAAAAAAATTTAAAAATAATACAATAAAATAAAAAATAATTTAAAAAAAAATTAAATAAAAAAATAAAATAAAAAAAAATAAAATAAAAAAAATAAAATAAAAAAAATAAAATAAAAAAAATAAAAAAAAAAAATAAAATAAAATTCAATACAGTGAATAACATAAAATGTAAAATAAACAAAACAATATGAAAATAGATAAACAATTAAAAAAATGTAAATTTTCAATGGCTAAGCGTCTAAACGATGCACTTGAGGGGGGATATCACTCCAAACAATTATATTAATAAAATTAAAAGTTAATAACAAATTACAGTGTGCAGTTTAGTTAAAGAAATTTGTATGTAAAAATAAACAGAAACAAAGCAAAATTACTATTAATAATTATTTCAAAACAATTAAACTAAGGCAAAAACGTAAACACCGCTCTTTCTACGCTCTTCTTCACACACATAGACAAACAAAACATTCTTTTGTATAGTTAAATAAAGAATAAAAATAGTATAAATATATATATATAAAACAACAGCAAAAAATAAAATGAAAAAAGTTTTAAAAACAATTATTGATACAAAAAATTATGAAACATAAAAGCGTAAACTCCTGTAAAATACCATTTAGTTGTAAAAAGAGGCAGAAGCAGAAGGAGAAGAAGAAGAAAAAAATAAATTATACTAAGTAAAGAAATTATGTTTAAAATAAAATAAATAAAAAATAAATAAATATATGTATATGTATTTAAAATTATACATAAAATTAGCAGTATGTATATGTAAACAGAAAATAATGAAAAGATAGCGATAGGAGAATGAGAAAATTTCGAAATTCAGCAAAATCTATCGAAAAAATAAAAAAATCAAAGTTAAGCAAAAAAATAAAAAAAAACTTCAGCAAAAAACTCAAAAAAAAAAAAAAAAAAAATCATTAAAATAATTAATAAATTAACAAATCTCATATAAGCGAAACATTTAATTATAAATTTATATGTATAGTAATAAAAAAATAGTACATATATGCATAAATACATATACCAGCATATACATATACAAAATAAATAGACGCATATTTACATTTATGTATGTATATGTATTAAGTACTTTAAAATTGTAACTTTATTTGCATTCAACTAATCATTATTAAGGATCTAAATACATACATACATACATTTGTAATTAATTATATTATATATATATAAATATATATATGTATATACATATATTTATAACTAAGTGATCGTGATGTTCTGTTTGAATACGCTAATGATGAGCATGATTATGTTTGTGAGTGTGCTGCTGTTAAGCTAAATACATGCATGCATGCATACATATATCCATACATAATTAAAAACATTTACAACATTAAGATTCTAGTATTCACTTTCATAATTATACATATTACTTACATGCATACACAAATACAAACACATATATGTAATGTGTATATGATTAAAGAATATTTGAGTCATAACCGCATAATGCACATGTACGTACGTGTATGTATGTGTATAATGGATATTGATGTTAACTTATAAAAAATCAAGATAGAAATAAATGAAAAAGAAAAGAAAAGATAGAAATAAACAAAACGTAAAACATAAAAACCTAAAAGCAAAAAAAAAACGATACATCAATGTCTTACGAGTTATTATTGCATACATACATACATACATACACACATACATAAATGAAGATAGTAAGCGAATTATTATTATAAAAATAAAGCATGAAAGGTGAAAAAAAACAAAGCAAAAAAAAAATTAAAAATTAAAAATAAAAATGAAAAACAAAACCCAGAACAAATTTAAAACCGAAAGCATTAAAAAATTTATTGATAAAATATAAAAGGAGATAAAATTTAAATGCAATTACCACACTGAATGAAATGTTTTCAAAAAGTGAGTGAATAAATGAGAAAAAAAATATTTAAAAATAATAAATAATTTAAGCTGAAGTTTTAATCTGTTGGCTGTCGAGGTGTTAACAGCGGTGAAGGGTAAGACATTACCCAGCGAGAACGGGCTGATGGGTTCATGAATACGCTGAATGCAGTTTAACGGATAATCCGTTTTATTTTATGTTCTTATTTTCGAGTAGAACGCCACTTTTTGATCCTTTTCTCCGTAGCAGATAGTAGATAGCAGAGAACGTAAAAAAGTGAAAAATATGGTTACGGATCATATACAAGCTGTGTGTATAATATATTGTCGATTAATTAACTATTGTACTTCATTTTTCATTACTCTTTACATTGTTTTTAAGGGCATATTGTGAAAAATTCAGTTAATGGAGTAAGTTGACTGGAATGGATGCTTCTTACCTTGAAGCAGCAGCAGATCTCAAAAATGTTCAAAAAAACTTTGCGAGGTACAACTGCTTTAAGATATTAATAACATTATAATTCGAACATTATTTTTTTATTTTACTTACACAGTTTCTTAAAAGGAGCCGCCATTATGACGGAGGCGTTCGTGGAACTGAGAAGCTGACACTATTGAAGACTTCTGCATATAGGGTTAAGCTTTTAATATTTTAGTGATTTTTTTTAATACGAATTTATTGTTGTATTGTCATTTGTTTTCTATGCTATATAATCCTTGTACTTGATATGTCGTCAAAGCTGATTTACTTTGGCATCAATGCTGTCGCTCAGCTGTGTTCTGTCTTGATGAAATTGCACAAGGAAACGAAGAGAGAATGACGTACACGTATACAAATGTAAACATCAAGCTTGTCATTTCGATTTTGAGAAAGCAATCGGGAAAATCGTTCCACGAGCTGACAAGATATGACATCATGCATTCCTGACATATGTTGCCTCAAATGATCGAAAGTCTTCTTGCAGGGTACCGAATCAACTGCGTCAAACTCGCAAAGGTGTGGAAAGTGCCAGTTACTAAGTGGCCAGTGGCGATTTCCTAGGTGTCTTGTATGATCTAATGCTTGGGTATCTTAATCTGGCAACAAATTGTGTGGCCAGAGCCGGTCTTGCTGTAAATCTTGTCTTATTGACCAGGAAATATAGAATGCCGGTAGCAGTTTACCTCTCTCTATAAGGAGCTTTCTTCTTTTCTTGTGGGGAAAAGTGAAGCACTTGACGGCTATTCTAAACAGGAAATTATCTTGTTAGGCAAATATTGCGGAGAGAAAGAAAAAAATATCAGTTGCTGTTGCGACAAGGTCGCAAACGACAAGAGATCAGAAAATGAATCTGCAGAACTGTAGATAAATCTATCTTATTTTAGAGTAACTTTTCTTTGCGCTAAATCCGTATATCGGAGCTGGCGCCGAGTGGCTTCTTTTCCACCACAAGAACTCGCTGAAGGAAATAAGCACTTTACTTTTTCACGGATGCTTCGAAGCTTGAGAGAAGAGTTGCCAGCCAGCTGTTACGACCTTGGGTTCCACTCGTGGGGAACGCTAAAATTGTGAAGGAATGTTTGTTACACATCTCTATATATCATTTGGAATCGGGTTACAGCGGATTTGCTGGGAACTGCAATGATGACGAGAGCTTGTGATCTGCTTCTGGACAGATGGACAATGATTAAACTTAAATAGCGCTGGAGTAGCAGTTCAACAAGCGCTAAGGTACCAGCTCAACTAGCGCGGTTACAACATTTTTTTGGCAAAATGTGGACCGTGAAATGTCAGCGAAGCTTCTCTCTATCTCAAGAATAGAATAATTTCGCTTAGTGGCGGTATTGACCGGACATTGGTCGTTGGGTATGCAAGCGGTAAGATTTGGTATTCTACTGGATCCCCACGGTCATAGTAGTTTAAAAGAAGAAATGGCATATTTCTGATGGGAATTTTGACATACCCTGTTCCAAAGCTGAGACCAAGGAAGGAATTGGAAACAGAACAATTAAAGCAGACTCAATTGGACGACAAAGCAAACGCCAAAGAACTGCTGATGAATGAACTGGAAGGTAAATACGTTCGGCTAGCTTCAAGCTAACATCTTAATGTTTGCAGAGAACTTGCATTCTGGTCGTAGTTCCTAAAAGCCGAATTTGGGTCATACGAAAAAATGTCACAATGGTCCTAGTGGAGGGAAGCACGAAGTTCCTGAAGAAAACAAATCAAAGGTTATTGACTATCCATAGCAGATTGCATTGGCTCCCAAATTATGAGTTTAAAAGAGAGCATTTATATTTTTTTTAAATGCAAATTGATTTAATTGTATTCGATAATCATAAATGTGTAAACTCAATTTATGAGTGGCTCTATTTTCCCCACTGAAAAGTCTGGCATCATAGTTGGCAGTGCATAAAGTTAGTTGGCAACGCAATGATTTTGATGTTTCGCTTATGGTAACTTTCGTAAATATTTTGATATGAAATTATAACACGTAAGATAAATAATTTAAGTGCTCTTGAATTTCTGCTAACGCGGCGCAAAGGATAGCGATGACGTGCAAAAAATAGTAGCAATCTTTAAAATATTCATACGTACAAGAGGACACTTATCAGTCTTTCAGTTGTAAACCATTTCACTGCAGCAATTCATTGACACATCAGTTGTTTTGTCAAGAAGTTGAATTCAAAATTTTTGGTAAGATTAAAGCAATTTTGATCGATTAGCATACAAAAGTAATTTAACATTGAAAACTTACTTCCCATTAGGTATGAATAACGAAATAAAAATGCTTAGGAGTAGTGAGAAATTTTTGGAGCTTTGTAAAGGTTTGAAATTGCCTCTGAATGGTGATATTTGCAGCAGTACTGAAGTACTTGTAAAACATATTTTTGAAAAATATTTCGAAAGTAGAATTTCAGAATCCGATCAACCGCCATGGCGTGATCCCACCAACAATTTGTGTAAATCACTACACATTTCATCTAATCAGACACGCTATATAAAACCCAGTGAAAATGACGTCTGGATTTTCGGTTATGGCTCGCTTATATGGAAACCAGACTTTCCATTTATCGATCGAAAACGTGGCTTTATACGCGGTTACAGAAGATTATTTTACCAAAATAGCACTGATCATCGTGGCACGAAATTACGCCCGGGTCGTGTTGTAACCCTTTTACCAACTGTTAGTTTGGATAGTCGAGTTTATGGCATAGCTTATCGTATTTCGGAAGAACATCGTGATGAAGTTTTGGCACATTTAGACTATCGTGAAAAGAATGGCTACGATCGTTGTGACGTACAATTTAATGAATATCCTGAAGATTTGGATAGTCATTTTTCAATAACCATGTATATTGCCACACCGGATAATGTATCGTATGCAGGGAATATTTGGCAAATACCAGTGATAGCACAACAAATATTCACAGCAGCTGGTCCAAGTGGACCAAATCGGGATTATCTTTTCAATTTAGCAAATGCAATGCGTGAATTATTTCCTGGTGAACGTGATCGACATTTATTTGAATTGGAAGCGGAAGTTAAGCAATTGATTGCTGAATATGAACCAAAGTTATTGGAAAAGTCATTGAAACGTGAAATCACCGAAATTATTGAGACGGGCAATACTGATGGTGACGTGCGCGAAACTATACGAGATGTAGAACATTTGCATCAGGTTTGCACGCACACAGGTTGGCGTGAGGATTTTCTGGTCAAGGAATTAGAAAGTCTGAAGGAGCTACTCGACTCACTTCAAAGTAAACAAAGTATTAGTACTCAAGTTGAAAGCAAAGTTGTAAACTCGTAGGCACTACAATTATTCTATTTTAAAAATGTGATATAAAGCGTTGTTTGAAATCTAGCACTATATTGTATAATATAAAACTTAATTATGAACAATAAAAACATTCATACACAAATAAAACTATCGGCTTTTACAATGTTTATCTGCTATTTAGAAATTTGAGTTTGGAAAAGAACAATTTAATAAATTGAAATGTTTTTCAGAATTTTAGTCAGTTTGAGCTCGTTTCTCCTGCAATTTGTGGTGCACGTCTTGAAGTTTTCCCTACAAATGGAGTAACCTGCAGCTTACACTAAGCCGCCTACGAACGTCTGATGGTTTTTTATGCGGCCTTTGGTATTTCATTGCAGAAATACTCTCGAAGGGGTTGACATGCCATGCCGTAATTATAAAAATATATTCGATATTAGTCTTGTTATGATTCGGGCAGATGACCATCCGCACTGCTAGCCAATTAGCAATAGCATTTGTATTAATGTAATTTATATATTTATTTAATTAAATTTTAATTTTCAATACCTAAAATATTTTTCAATTCTTTATTTTATTTTGTTCTACTTTATTTTATTCGATTTTATATCCTTAATTTTATTTCAATTTAGTTTGTTTTATTTACTTTGTTATATTTTACTTTGTTATATTTTATTTGATTTTGTTTTAAATTATTTATGTTGTTTATTTTTTTGTTATTTAATTTCTTACAATTTTAAACTTTTGTTTGTTTTATTTACCTTTAGTTTGTAGCATTTTTGTGTTTTATTTAATTTTTTTGTCATATATATTGTTATCTTTTACTTTATTTTATTTTATTTTATTAATTTTTTTGCTTTAGTTTTTTAATATATTAATTTATATTTTTTCTGATTTATTTTATTTGCTTTTATTCTTATTTTATTTCTCTTATATTTAGTTTCATTTAAACTATTTTTATTTTATTTATTCTGTTTAATTTAATTTATTCTTAATTAGATTGCCCAATTATTCTCGTTTTTATTTTGCTTATTTTACTTTTTCCGTATTATTTATTTTAATTTTACTTTATTTTAATTTATTTTCTATTTAATATATATTATTTTATTTTATTAAGTCTTATGTTCTTTTATTTAATTTAATTTTGTTTTATTTTATTTATTTTGTTTTATTTTATCTTATTTGATTTTACTTCATTGTCTATTAATTTACATAATTTTGTCTTATTTTATTTTATTTTTTACTTTATTTTATTTAAATTAATTTTTTTGTTTTATCTTTTTAATTTCTTATTTCTAGTTTTTTTTTGTTTTTGTTTTGTGTTTTTTTTGTTTTTGTTTTATTGTTTTTTATTTTCTTTTATTTGTTATTTTATTCTCTATTTTATGTTTTTCTTTTAATCAGTTTCGTTAACATTTTTTTTATTTATTCTATTTAATTTAATTTATTTTTATTATAATTATTTTAATTTTTTGTTCTTATTTTGCTAATTTTATTTTTTCTTGTATTATTTTAATACTTTTATCTATTTTAATTTACATTTTTATATAAATTTTACGTTATAATATTTTTTTCTAAAATTTATTTTATTTCATTATAGGTTATTTGATTTTAATTTTAATTTTTATTTTTTTAAATTTTTTTTTCGTTTTTATTTATTTTCTTTTTTTAGTTTCAGTTAACTTTCTATTTTTAGGTTTCATTTTTAAATTAAATTTAATTTTAATTACATAATTTTTTGAGTGTTGAGTTATTTTATTTCACTATCTTGTTGTTTTTGTTTACTTTATGTAGCTTTAGTTTACTTTGTGTTTAATTTGATTATTTATTTTTTGTTTTGTTTTATATTAATGTATTTTATTTGTTTTTTTATTATTTTTTCATTTCAATTTATTTTATTTTAATTTATTGTTATTTAATTTTTTTTTATTTTTTTATTTTATTTTGCTTAAATATGAAATATAATTTTATATTTCTTATTTTTTAATTTTATTTATTGTTATTTAATTTTATTTTTTTTTTTAAATTTATTTTATATTTATGATAGTTTATTTCAATTTATTTTGTTTTATTTAATTCAATTTTATCTTATTTTATTTAGTTTTATTTTATTTTACATTTTTTTACATTAATTTATTTTTAATATTTTTATTTTATTTTTTTTATTATATTTAACATAACTTTAATTTATTTTATTTTATATTTATTTATTTTATTTCGAGTATTCAATTCATCGATTATAAACAACGAGCGAATAAATAAAAAACGAGAGAAATAGCCGGAAAATAAACGCGCGACGGCAGCGATTGCCGAACAGTGCGTTGCGCTGGCGCTTGAAATTGACGACGGAGGTGTTGAGTATGTCAAGACTGTTACTAGAGAAATACGAAAAATATGTAACCAGCTGGTTGAGCCTTCTGCTGTGTCTGCTTTAGTTGCACATAAAATAAGTCATCGCCAGAAAAATAATTCTGTTGAGCTGCAATAAATACGCCAGCGACAGCAATTACAATAACAATCAAATAAAAAAATTATTACTGTGTCTGCGCCTTGGGGCATTTGGCGCTATTTTTCATTTGCCAATAAATTTTTGCGCTCTAAACACGCTGGATCATAACAAACCAATAGTCAAGTAGTAGTACTAACAAAAGGCACACAAAAACAATGTATATGTACATGTATTTAATTCAAAGCAGAGCTAAAAAATAACCCGCGGCTGCGTGTATACGCGTGCACCCCAGCCATACACCTTCCGCTGGCCTCAATACACGCGCACGCCGCTTAAAGAGACCAGCGTTGACCAATGCCATTACCATTCTATCTGCATCTGCCATCGGTTTACATTGGCCACCGCCACGAGTAGCTCTCACCGGCATCAGTAGGCGCATCTCATCGCTTTGCATCGTAGACGCCCTGTGCCGCTTTTGATTTTGTAAAATCAATCGATTCGACATTATTATTAATTTTTCATAACTTCCGCGGCTGCGCATCCGATTTGATATTACGCCCCGCCGCACAAATTGACTGCGTACAATGTTGGTCCCCGTACTACGAGCTGCTGCGGGTTCCTTTTTATTTTCCCTTTCGATTGAGTGCAATATGGAAATTGAAGCGCACATCTGTCGAAGACGTTGCGGTCACCACCATCAGCTGAATGTGGCCAGTCTAGTGTCTAGCTCAAACGGTTACTTTGGACGCCCTCGCTGTTGGTTGCTCTTGCTGGCTTAGACCATGTGAAACTAATCTATTTAAGTTTGTATTAGGCAAGCGTAATGGACTAAAGACGCTTTGATCTTTTGCCGCAAAGTTGGCGAGTAGAAGCGAATGTGTTGGGAAACTGAAAGCTCGCTTATGGAAAATGGCAAATGTAAATCGATTTGAATTAATTTTGTGCTTCTAGTAGATGGGAGTTTTGGACTAGGGTAGGCTACGTAAAAAGTAAAAATTTACAGAGACCAGTAATACCCCTCTTTGGGGTTATGATTCTTCTTACATCGAACGACAATGATTTATTATCAAAATCGTCGCGTTAGCTTCGGAAAATTAACTTACCCATAACGTATAAAAACCAAAAGGACCAGTCGTAATTTATCGAGTCGAGTCAATACTGCTTGGACATCTAGTATTCTCCGGCGCCAGTCTATACAAACGCATAAGTTTCTTCGGATACCATATTTAGGCATAGAGCAGTTCCGTTTAAAATCGATGATAAGGTGATGCGCATCTATCAGTTTCTAATGTATCTTTTTCAAGATTTTTTTACGTAGTAATCCTCTGGGCAGTGTTTAAGGACCCACTGGTAAGGTCCAATCGCGGGAAATATTTTTTTTACAGCATTCAGCAAAGAAGCTGGTATATGTACCCAATCAGCTCTTCGCTGTCATGATTAAGAAGCTCAGCCGGTAAACCATCGACTCACACAGCTTCAACAAGCTTTTAGCAGACAAACTACCATACAGCAGGCTGGAGTAGTATTAACTTCATAAGCTCAGTATGCTTGGACATCGGTCATCAGATCATTTCTCTGGTTTCTTCATGAGTATGCTTCGCCAAGGAAACCTTTTGTAAGTTTTTCTTAGCATTTCCATGTTTTATCCCTTTTCGCCAGCGTCTGAAGCTCTTCACACTCTTGCAGTTCCAGGTATCGCTTTATTTTTGTCCACAAATGCTGTCCCACCAGCTTTTTCAACTTTCGGTGTCTCTTCCGTGCGCTTCTGTCGATCGTGTCGTGTCATCGTACCAGCTACGCTTTTCTAATAGTTCCAGAGTTCTCTTATACCGATATGTTGGTGAGTTTTCTCAGAGGAAGATTCCAAGTTGAGTACGAAAACCGTTTGCCTGTCTATTGTGAATGCAGTTTTTCTGCATCGAGCCTTCCTTGCGCTTGTGAATGGACGCTCTTTTTTCCCAGCGGCGGGTATGCATTTTCGCTGCGACAGAACAGCGATCCAAATCGGTGTTAGGTCTTCGGAACGTACACACATCTAGAACGCTGGGGACAAGTAGCTTCATGAATTTTCTTGCGCCGGAATCCGGTGCTATGAGCGACTCTATTTCGGGTACTGGCGATCTCGATCAGTCTCAGCTGGCATATGGATGTTTCGTCATTTATGCTGAATTTTCCGGCTGCTGTGCTGAAGTTGCCTTTACTTACATTACATTCGCGAAGCACAGTTTCGATATCGCGACAGGGCAGAGCTTGTTGGTGCGATCAAGGCACTCATAGAAGGTATTTTTACACACATCGCCCTTCCTCAAGTCCTCCGATCGTATTTCTGACATAAAATGAAAAGTCCTCATAAAAATCCATCGGCCATTCGGAGGCGGCTTAGTATGAATAGGAGGTCCCTCCATTTGTTTGAAAAACATCCAGACGCTGTTAAACATTTGTATTTTTCAAAATTAAGTGGTAAAACAACAACAATTTAAACTCATAACTCTTAAATACGCTTAGCCCGCCGTTTACATTGCCACTTTGGCGGGCAAACGTTCGATTGGTAAACAAATGTGTTGGCGAACGCACGAAACAGCTGGAGCCAGTGAATGCCACAGCAACAAAAGCCGGCATATAGTGACCAAGTAGGCAGTGCGTTCGATTAGAGCTGTGGATACGAGGTCGGTCCAAAAGTTAAGCGCACGACGTGAGATTATGC